GAATAGCTGGTGGATTTCCCACTGAGATCAATGGAGTCTGATGGTTCTACTGGGTTTGGTTTGATTCATCTGGTTCTGAAAAGACACTGAAGGTTTGTCTCTGACATGCAGTGAAGTCGAAGGATGAAGTAGCAGAATGTGGAAATACTCAGGCAAAGAACAGGTTCCTAAAAACCTGAGTAAAAGTACTTAGGGAGTACTTTGGGGAGGCAACAGTGGTGTGGTGGGTAGAGCAGTCGTTTCTCAACTGGAGGGTTGAAGGTTCGAATCTCAGTGCTTACAGTCCGCGTGTCGAAGTGTCCTTGGGCAAGACACTGAACCCCCCGTTACCCCAATGGTTAGAGCCATCGGTTGAGGTGGCGCCGCAGATGGCTGCCATCGGTCCTGTACCAGAAACAAATTCCTTGTTTGTAACATGCTTGGCCAACAAAGGTGATTATCCTTAGTTACTTTCCACCACTGCGTGTCCTGAGTCGTGACACTTTAACCTCTAAGGTTTGAAGAGGTGAAATGATCCCAGTTAGTAAAGAGTAAAAACCTAGAAATGTGTTTTTGTTTTCTATCTGAAAATCATCTCAGGACCTCCAGACTGATCCTGTGGTCCTTTGTGTAACCCCAGGTTGGGAACCATTGTTGCAAACTACACGCAGACACTCGTTCCTCTGTGAGATTGGAGCCACCAGTTGACGACAATATATGTGATTGTTTTACTTTGTGTGTGTGTGTGTGTGTGTGTGTGTGTCTGTGAGAGATGCTTTGGGTGCAACAGCTACATGGTATTTGTACGGATCACGTGGCAATCGGGAAAATGACTCACAGCGAGGCTTCGTTTGGAAACGCCCTCTGCTCAATACGCACTTTGGTGTCATAGGTGACATCACTAAAGCTGTAAAATAAGAGGTAACATTACTAGTAATGTGAAGTACAAAGCAACTAAAGCTGTAAAGTAGCAGGAGGACAAGGTGGTTGTGTGACTGCTGGGGCGTTGTGTAGCCCCAGTTGTTACACCTTCCCCTCTGACACAATTCACTTCTGCTGTTTTTAAGCCCCATGTTCACACGCACGCACACAATCAGGCCCATAACACACAATCCTGAGCACGACTCATACACATCCAACTCAGCAGTAACACAACGCCACTGAACATTTTTACTTACTGATTTTTACAGTCTGAGGTCCTTTGAACAAATGTTAACTAACATTTGTCTGTTTGTTGTTGATAAAGAGTTTACAGCGATGGGTGAGAAGAAGACTGACAGCTGCCAACATTGGGTATCTGCAGCTCACAGCTTGTGAATGTGAATCTGTCCATCATTGCCTTCTTTCCCACATCACGAGAATACAGCACAAATTAAAGCTGATAAGTTTAAGTGTTGGTGTCCTCATAAAGGTACATGTCCAGTGTCTCTCTCTCTCTCTCACTCACTCACTCACACACACACACACACACACACACACACACACTGTCTGCAGAGGCAGGACGCCAGCCAAAGGGAATTCTGGGTAAATTTATTTCCCTTCCACACACTCTTCTTTTTAGCTTCAGATTCAATTAATTAGACCAGTTAAGTGATGAATAGCTGCACTTAGTGTAATTGAGACAATAAAGGTGAGGAAGAGGAGTAAACAGTGAGGAAGAAGTTAATTATAATGTGGTGCGTTTAAGTGCAGCTGGGGCACTCTAGTGCTGACCTCAGTCACCAGTCCATCGCAGACGTGTTAAGTCACGTGTCAAACTCAAGGCCCGCGGGCCGGATGTGGCCCGCGAGATCATTTTATACATCTTTTATTAATGGCCCAGCGATATGAAGCGCCGATAACACACACACTACAAATCCCATAATGCAGCGCAACAGCTGCCTTACTGAACGATAGGCTACCTGCGATCATTCCCGCGTCAATTACATCAGATCAATCAATCGTCTGTTGATGTCTTCTCTTCTTCTTCTTTCACGTTAGGGGTCGCCACAGCGAATCATTTGTTTCCACCTAACTCTATCCTCGGCATCCTCTACTCTCACCCCAATTAACTTCATGTCCTCTTTTAGCACATCCATATATCTCCTCCTTGGCATTCCTCTTGACCTCTTGCCTGACAGCTCCATCTCTGTTAGGGAAACGCTTGACACAAGGGTGAGCGAGCGGAGAAAAACAGCAGACCCAGGCGGCTGGCTTCGGTGCAAGCAAAGATTTATTTACAGTGTTTAAGTAGTGCATCAATATATACAAAGTGAAGTGGTGAATATAACCGGGTGTCGACCA